ATTATGAAGCTTACTTCTTTACACTTCCTAGTAAATGCTTCAAGAGTTTTCCTATGGTTGGCATACACTACCAAATCTGGGGGCTCGGTTGTTGGCCAAGTGGAGTGCGACTCCTTAAGGATTACTCCTTACTCTTCCAGTAGACACTCCGATAGGTTTCTTAGTTGGCTTAGGCTGCCAAATCTAGGGGTACGAATATCAAGCAGGGCGCAACTCCTGTAAAGTGGCCATGAATCTCTAAGCATGTCCTGTAAGGTTTCAACCCGAAAGTGATCGTTAGTTGCCTAATGGAGTTAACAGGTTTTTTCTTTTATAGTCTCGTGGACTATAGGGGAGGAAGTGACCAATGTGGAACTAGGAAATGCACCAAGCGCAATGTCGATCATCGTAACACCAACCGGACGATCAACGCTACACAACACCTTTTCTGGAGAACACAATCTCAACGCCCGCTGAATCAGCATGTGAAACGGCTTCACATGAGAAACAGCACATAACAGATTATGGTACTAGATACCATATGGAACTGTTCAATCGCTTTTACCTGGGATTGAACCAGTATCTTGTGATCTGACCTGTGGAGTGCTAACCACTGCACTATGGACCCACAGGTTAAGAGAAAGTAAGTTTTTTCCTAATGTAAAAGAAGTTATTTGGCAAGAGTTTGAAGTAATAGGTTTTGTGAAGAAGTGTTATTAGTTCTTGAATTGTAAAGATGTTATCTCTGGAGTTGAAAAGAAAGAAGTTTTTGTATTTTGGTTTAAGAAAGTGATAGGTTGAGTGTAATGGTTTTTTTGGTGGTAAAAGTTTAAAGAAAGTTTTTGAAAGTTTGAGAGGAACTTGGTAATTTTCTCAAAAGAGATTTTTTAATTCAGAAAGTTTGTTTAGTTCACTATATTTTTTAATTGAAAATATTTTCTTATATTTTGGAAATAGGTTATTGGGGCTTGCTAGGAGTGAAAGGTTAATTTTAAAGAAGTTGTCTGAAAGTTTTTGAAACCTGTAGTAGGATCTGAGTATATATAAGATTGGAATAAGTTGTGATTTGTTTTGAAGAAAGAGATTATATAGAAGTTTAATTTAGATATTTGATGGGATTTCAGTTGAAGAAGATGAAAGTTCAGGAAGAATGTTATTGAAATATTTCTTGAGTTTTTTCTTGAGTTCATTGAAATTAATAATAAATTGTAGTTTTCTAATGAAATAATTGTTAAGGTATGTGAGAAGACTTGCAAGTTTGTAGAATAGCATACTATTGATGTCAATAGTTCTGAGATAGATGGTCAATAGAATTATATATACAATAACATAAATTTTCTTTTTTGTTTTGAAGTTGATGAAATTAAGGTTACATTCTTTTTTGTATTTTTTTGGAAATCTTTTTCGATTTTATTGAATTTCTTTTGGTATGCCAGTTTAATAGTTTTTTTGAAAGTAAAGAAACTAAAGAAAGTGCAGTAGAAGATATAGAGATATTTGGATAGTTTTTTGATTTTGTCTATAATTTTGATAATTGTAGAAGTATTATTAGGTATTGAAAGAAGTAGGTCTGCTAATGTTTCTGTTTTGTCACAAAGGCTTTTATATTGTTTTGCATTATGGATTTGTTGTAGTTTCTCTTGAATTTGTTAGTCAAAGGAAGATGACCAAGTGTTTGATTGGAGTGGTTGGTTGGTGATAACAGTGGATTTGGAGAGTTGATCCAAATAAACAATGTTTTTAAAGTTATTAAATTGTGATTATCTTATAGATTTTATCTTGCTAATATCCATAAAGTTGAAAATAATGATAAAATTGTTAAGTAAGTTGGTAATTAGTTAATTGTGGATAGGATTTGATTGTGAAGGATTTGCAAATGGGGGTCTAAATTAGATAGTTTTATTGGTTTATCTATTGTTTTGTTAATTTCATTAGAATTAACATATATGAATATGGCTAAATTGATAGTGTTAACGTCTCTCTTGGCAAGTCTGTTGCTTCTTTGGAGCACTTCTTATGTAATATTGGTAAGTGTTTGACCTCTCTACTTGAGGTGTGTAAATTGTTTATCTGAGTTCCACCAATCTTTTTCTTCTCTTTCCATTGTTGCTTCTCTTAATAGATCTTTACCACTTTTCCTTTTGTGGTTCCAAGTGTCCTATTTGTGACAAGTACTAAATTAAATAAGTTAATTAGTTTTACTCCTTTTGGCAATAACTATCACACATCTTAATTAAGAAGGTTTTAATTTAAGAAATGGTTTTTCTTATTTGCATAACCTCTTTCTATTTATATCATTGTTACTACTAGAAAAACAATTAAGAGAAAATAGACTATCAATAGACTATTTTTACAAGGGAAGTTATGGAAAATCTATTCTAAACTCTAATTATTGTGTCATTGCTTATGTAACCCCACTAATTATTTCCAATTTTCAGGGTACGCAACATACCAGATCGCATACTATGGTCATGTCACATGCAATTTTCCTGCCAATAATAGTCAGGAGGTTTGCATGTATATGCATTTGAGTTGGTTGAGTGATATTCTTTTTTTGGAGAACAAGAGAAGTGATAGATAGTAGATCATTTTCAGGAGCAAGTTGAATAGGTTTTTTGTTTTTTTCTGTGTTGGAAAGAGAAATTCTTATAGGTGATTGTAAGTTTAGTATTAAATTGGATTTTTTTCATTTTTTTTACAATGTTACTGATGTATTGAAAGTTGAAGAGATTGTTTCTTGTATTTGATAACTTGATATGAATTTGAAAATATTTTCTTTTGTCATCTTTTTTGATAGTTTCTGTTGTAAAATTAATAATTCATATATTATTTGTAAAGCTGTTTTAACAATTTCTTCTATGTTTTTTTCTTCTTTTATGATGAGAAATTGGTTGGAAAAGTTAGTGAGATTTGGAATGAGAAGGTTTTTCAAAAAGTCTATTTTGATAATTTGATTATTAGAAAGATCCAAATAGAAGATTTGAAAAAGTTAGTTTCAATCCTGATGGATAGTTGTATATAGAAATTGTTTTTTGTTGTTGTTTGAAATAGAGTACTCCATTATGGGAGTTATTTAGAGATGTGGTATATTTGAAGGCCCTTTGGATTTGAAAAGTTTCTTTGAAAAGCTATTATCAAATAAGAAAATTTTTAACAAAAAATTGATTTGTAAGAAAGATTTTTTTTTTTGAAACAAACTTTATATTTTTTTATATTTACTTTTCTCTATAATTTTATTTTTTCTTGTTTTTTTTTTCACAAATCTGAAGCTCTTAGTTTTTTTTTGTTTTTTTAAGTAGGTAATTTCTTTCTTTATTTTTTTTTGTAATAAGTTTTTTTTAGGAATATATCTACTTTATAGGTGATAGGCTAGTATGCATAATAATACATCTCTAGATTTAAAAATTAATTATGTATTGATAAAACTCATACTCAATTAATAAAATCATGAGAAAAGCCTTACTTTAACAATTTAAAAAAAAAACTATATAAATCCAAATAATAAATTTTTAATTATTTTTTATACTATTGTAAATGAATAATTTTAAAAAAATTATTATTATTATCTAATAATATAAAAATAATATTATCTTGTTTTTTAATATAATTTATAATGCAATTTTTATTTAATATATTATATTTTTAATAAGTGAAAAAGCCATAATAAACTTATTTAAAAGGTTGAAAAGTAATATTGAATGTTTAGTAATTATTTTTTAAATTTAATAAATATTGCAAATAAATATTTATCAAGATAATTTTAATTGAATGACCTTTTTTTATAGATATTACTACGGGAAAATTAATAAATTTGTTATAATTTAGTATGATATTTTATATTAAAAAAAAAGTATTTTTAAATTTTAACTTTTGAGATAATACATTATTGTAAGGGAATAAGACAAGACGCGAAGCCCATCACGTGACTGATCGTCGTGAAGGGTACCGCAAGGAACCTGTTCTTGGTTGAGGAAAAGAAGAAAGTGATTGTGAAAAGAAACTTATGTAATAGAGACTTAGCTTACCTATTGTTATTAGAGTATAACCGCACTAGCCTCTGTAAATAAAAAGAGAGAAAGAGACAAGCATTAATAAAGAAGAACAAGAAAAGTTATAACATCAAATTACTCGACCAAATCAAAACACGCCTCCTTAACCTTGATAATTACCCACTCTATCCGCGGTTACGCGAAATCTTGTCCTCCTTAGCGTCTGACTCGCCGTTACACTCCCACAGTATATATTTTGTTTAATTGTTGACCCATTTGAAGTTTGCATATCTACAAACTTTATCGGCAATATAATTTTATCTTTAGTTACATGACACAAGTTATAATATTAAAAATAGAATACAAATTTTTAATTTAACTTTATTTAGAATGTACAGTACACAATGTGCAGAACTATAATAGTTACAATCTGCCTTTTTCTTACTTTCGAAATTTAAACAATCTATTATTTTTATACATTGTAACAACAGTATGATTCATAAAAAATTTAATTTCTTACTTTGCTAAGCTTCAAAGAAATTGATATTGAGAATCGTCGGTAATGAAGAAGAAAATGAGAAAGTTTTAAAAGCTAGTGTGCTTGCACTTCATTCATAAATTAAGCACGGTCGATTTCTGTGACAACGATACAGTAGAGATTTAGGTACTGTACTACAGTATACAGTACCCACAACGAAAATGCCGATATTTTGAACACGACCGCATGTTGATGTTAAATACGAGTGTAATAATAGTGCATGAAGAAGATATTTTAAGTAAATAGTAGGCACAGGTAGTGAGCACACATTATAATTTGTTTATTTTGATTAACATTGTACTAAGTTAGTTATTTTCTTACCCGAATAGGAAGTTCATATCTATTAAAATATTGAATCAGTATGGTAAGAGTAATTGCGGAACTAACTTTCATGTATGTACTACATTTCATCGGATCAAGTATCTTTTAGGCCCGATAACACGTCATTTACATTTAAAAGCAAACGCTAATAATTTCTTTCTTTCTGAAATACCATGTCTGACATAAGTGTTATATTGTCTATAGGTAAGAAAACGACCTTTAAAATCTCATACACGGTATATACATTTATAATAAAATTTTACATTTGATAATAAAGATTTTGGAACTCAATATTCCGTAAGTAAGATTTCAGACTCTTTTGTCTTGTAAAATAATCAAATTAGAACCCCTTTCTATAATTCGTTACGAATTTTTAGAGCTTTAGCTATGCCCATGTCTTAAATAACGCAGTAATCACGAACAACGATTGGCCGGGGGTGACTGGCCAACCCAGAATTGAAACTGCCCTCCAATATGATTCTGATTTTCAAAACGTGATAGCATGGGGATACGAAGCATTGGCCACTAAACCTACTTCAAAAAAATATAAAAAAAATAAAACCAAGCCTATTGAATTATTTAAACTGCATTTGAGGGATATTCCTGAATCTCAAAAACCAACATTACCGGTTGGGTTTGATTATAAGAAAGCCATATCCGATTATCTCAGAGAAATTGGTTGATATCCATATATTTTTCTGTGTTATTTTTGTTTCATTTTATTTGAGGTCATTAATAATTTTTCAAATTATCATTGCTATTTATATTATAATAATAAAGGAAACGTGAGTAATAAAAAACATCATTTGCATTTATAAAGCAATAGGATTGTTGATTTTTTTCTTTTAATATATAGTTGGCAAGAGGGACTATAACGACTCGTTGGCCTAAAGTAGACTTTTACAATAATGTTCATCTTATACTTACTGTGCCCGCTGAATGGTCGAATCGAGAAATCGATATTATGAGAGAATGTGTATTTAATGCATCATTGATTAAGAAGAAAGATTCTTCCAATTTGGAATTTTTAACCGAACGTACGTATTCAAGTATTATTATTTCCTGTTCATTTATTGATAAATCTTATTAAAATAAATAGGTGAAGCTGTCGCAAATTATTGCATGAAAATTGCAAAGGAGTATTTTAATATCATTGGCAGTAGGTATCAATTATTTGTCATATAATCTCACTAATAAATAGTATTTTAAATTCTTTAAATATTGTATATGTATTAAACAGAAAAATTTATGATTGTTAATTGTGGAAGAGAAACCGTTGATTTGACAACTCGAGAATTATTGGAGAATGAATTAGGTAAAATTGCATCAAGACATGCCGATTTTTGTGGTGGATCAGATGTTGAACAGCAATTCTTAAGATTCATTACAAGTAAAGTCGGAACGAGTGCAGTTGAACGATTAAAAGAGTTTAATTTTGGTCATTACCAGAATATGATTCGTCAATATTCTGAATGTATTCAAAGTCGTTTTACTGGAGATGAATTTTTTTACGAATTTGATCTAGAAGATGCTTGCCCGGCTATAAAAAAATACGTTTCAGGTAAATAATATCCATTAGGCTTAAATTTTTTTGGCTCAACTCACTCATATAGTTTATAAAAAATACTAGGTCCATCGAGAGATGTATTGGAAAAAGATGAATGGATAATTGATTTTGATACCGAGACCGTAAAATCATTATTTGACCCAGTTATCAAAAAAATCACTGAGTTAATACATGAATTAAATTCATTTGAACCTTGTTCAGCTATATTTCTGATAGGAGAATTTAGCGAATCAAAATATTTACAATCAACAATCAAGGAACGCTTTAAAAGTATTGTTAATCATATATCAATTCCCCCCCAACCGACTTGTGCAGTTACACGAGGAGCAACCGAATACGGATTAAGAAAAACTACTCGTACAATGAAAGCGACAAGTGAAATAAACAAATTGTTGCTCGGTGAAACGAGTGTAGGAAAATACGGATTAGGAAAAACTGCTCATACAATGAAAGCGACAAGTGAAACAAACAAATTGTTGCTCGGTGAAACGGGTGAAGGAAAATACGGATTAAGAAAAACTGCTCATACAATGAAAACGCCAAGTGAAATAAACATATTGTTGCTCGGTGAAACGGGTGTAGGAAAATCTACATTTATAAACGCCTTTGCAAACTATCTGAGGTATGATACTCTAGATGATGCGAAAGTTGGGGAGATGGCAGTCCTAATTCCATCACAATTCACTATAATGGATGAAGATTTTGAGACGAATAAAATAAAAATTGGCGACCCTGATTCAAACGAACTAACAGAAAAGGA